CCAAAATTCACCGTGGAGACCCTGGAGCACACAGTCAACAACGACTCCGAGATCTGGGGCCTCCTCCAGCCCTACCAGCACCTCATCTGCGGGAAGAACGCCAGCGGTAAGTGTACTCCTCCCCCTCCAGCCCCGCCAACTCTCGGCGCAAGTTTGCCTCGCGCCCTCCTCCTGCGGCTTTCCGGCCACCCGCTGCTGTCCCAAGGCTCCAAGGGGGCCACCGGGCTAGAGGCGACCAGAAACCTGCCGCTTCTCTTCTGTGCTCAGGATCTACGTACTTTACGCGGCTGGTGAGGTCCCAGGTCCCAGAGCTCGCGGTTCCGCCCCCGGTGCGGGGCTAGGCAGCTACCGCCTCCTGCAGGCGTTGATCGGAACCCAGCACCGTTTCTGTGAGCCGCCTTGAGATCGTTTGCGCCCCTTACACATCTTCTACCAGAGCCCTGTTTGTTTTGACCTTGAAGGTGCCACATTTTCCGGCGCACGGGTTTGGCTCCCTAAGGACTTGGGAGAAGGCGCGCTTCCCTCCCCGCCGCCCAGTTCTCGTACCTCCCCCCACGCCCTCCCGGGACACGGGCGGTGCGCAGGGAAAGGAGGAGCCGGGCGAGTGGAGGCAGAATGGTTGGGATCTCGCCTGGCCTGGAAACGGTCTGGAGAGGTGTGTGTGTGGGGTGGAGCGGGAAGACTTGCCCGTCCCAAGTTTTTCTGGGGCAGCGTTTGAGGACCAGAGCGCGCACAGCTGGTGGGGGCTGCGCAGTGGACAAAGCCCTCTTTCCCAGCTCCCAGTTCCTGCCGCTGTCTGTTCCCTCTAGCTGGGAGCTGCAGCTGTCACCACTTGGCTGAAGGGGCGCCACCAGGGACTCGGGCAGGATGGAGGTGGGGCGGGGGTTGTGGAGATTGTTATCAGTTTAGGGCGTCGTTTCCAGTAGGTTCTGCATCCCCTCTGCGCACCCCCGCTGTTTCGGAGGCCGAGCTGGGTGGGTTTGAACCCGCAGTTCTGGCGGCGGAGGGGGCGGGGTCGGGGTCGGGGTGCTTGTTTTCAAGAGCTCGCGCTGGCGGTTCTGCCTGTCTGCGAAAGCCGGAGCTAGACACTTCAAAGCTTTAATTTTCCACAGGAAATGGTAGAAGCGTAACTGGAGACTCTAAAAGCGAAATAAAACTTTGCTCCATATTCGGCGGTTTGGCCGGAGGTTGCGTGGTTGAGCTGAAATGCAGTCTTTCTGGGTAGATTTCATTCATGTTGCTGCTTGTCTTGTTTCCCGGGGCAGAAGGAGAGATTCGGCGGGCGCGGCCCGGCCTCTGGGGGTGCCAAGTGTGTGCACGGGAGTGTGTGAGCCTGCAAGCGCGCGTTAAATGTGCCTGTGAGTGTGCGCAGGAGTGAGCAGCGGAAGCCCTTCGGAAACTGACCCCGCAGCTCTGGGTCCCTTCACCTGGGTTTGATCATCGGTGAGGAAGGGAAAGACCGAGCGAGTGGGTCTGTGTGTGGGATGGGGAAGCGGAATGCGCGGTGATCCCGGGGATCCGGGATGTCTTTGCCTGAGCCCTTCCCCCTCTGCTGCCAGCCTAGGGAACAACCTTCAAAGCGAGAATATCTGTAAGGACACGTACACACACACACACACACACACACACACGAAATCCTGGCCAAGGTGGGAACATCTGGGAGAAGTCATTGGGTTTTTTTATTCCTCTCTTCAGAATGGGGGTGGAGTGGGTGGATTTCACGTGAAAAACTCAAGAGCCTTGGACTGGATTGTTCTGTGTTTGGAACTCTCCCCCCACCCACCCAAAGCAGAGGAGCTTAATTTTCTTCCCACCCTGCCCCCCCCCCATTACTATCCTCCTTCACTCTTTTGTCACCCACCCCCCAGGCCCTTACCTGCCTCCAGGGGCTGAGGGCACCTCCTTTTTCTCCCTGGATATTTCCTTTGGCAGAATGGAGGATTCTTCCCCAGAGGCTTCAGTTTGGAAGTCTGAGCACTCTGCTCCAGCCCTTTTGTTGCCGTTCTCTTGAAGTGTTTACTTTGGGCAAGTCACCTTTCTTCTCTGGACCTGGGTCTCCTTCTCTGTAGAAGAAGGACCTAGAAATGTAATGCTCCCCCAGGCCCTCTTGTAGCTCTGAGTTCGTAGCTTCCTTACTTTTCCAAATCAGTTTTACTTTTATGATCCTTCACAGCATTTGAAGACAGTTTTTGTGTTTATCCTTTTTGGATTACATATAATTTAAGGAAGGAGAAGACCACAGAATTGGTTCTGGGTGGGTGAGCGTGTGGTGGTTGGGGTTTGCTTCCATCCCAGCATTTCCCACGGTACCCCTGGGTTTCAGCCTTCTCTGAGGATGAAATATTCCATCATGTCACTGAGATCGCATCATCTCTCTTCTCTGTGTTTGTTTAAAATGTCACGTCATTTTTGTAGAAGAATTAAGGCATGTGTGATTAATTCTTTAGATACCTGAAACATACATACATTCAACCTCAAACCTAGTCCTTAAACTGTTGTGCAGTCTTTCGGATCTGCAGGGCTTATTAAAGAGAGAATACCTTCCATAATAGGTTTCCCTCTTTTACTCAGTGGCCTCACTTATTTATTCGTTTGTGAATTCGTTTGTTCATCAATAGTTATTGAGCAGTTTCTGTTGTGAATACTAGGGGTTGAGCAAGCACTGGGTAAGAGGCAGTTAGCTGGTACCCAGTACTATTTTGCATACTAGCTCCTTTGATTCTCAGCATTTCCTTGAACAGACACTACTGCTATACCCGTTATATAGAAGAAGAAACTGAGGCATAGGGAAGTTAAGTACCTTGCTTATCTCCGACTAGAGCCACCAGAGCCTTGCTTCTGCCCGTAGGACTCTTTAGTGACAGGTGAGTTTCCTGCCTCCATGCCTCCTACCCACCTTTCATGACTCACAGCAACCTCACAGCCTGTCCCAAGGTAACCACGTTTCGTTCCCACCAAACTGAACTGGACAGAACTGGATTTTACATGTTTTATATCCTCTGTCGAAGCCTAAGAGAGAGCCCAGTACACAGTTGGAGGTTGTCAGACGCCTGTTGAGTTGAGCAAGCCGTTGTACAATACTACACAATGGTGTCTTGAAAGAAGCTATTGCTTTTGGCATTTCTTGAATCATCTTTTCAAGTCTTCCTACTTTGATGGTCCCTTCCATCCACCATCTCTGCACCCGTTCGCCCTTCTAGTTTGCTGCCATTTTACTACCAAGGCTGAAGAACCATGAAACTAGCTGACTCAGCGGGCGGGCGCGGCCCGGCCTCTGGGGGTGCCAAGTGTGTGCACGGGAGTGTGTGAGCCTGCAAGCGCGCGTTAAATGTGCCTGTGAGTGTGCGCAGGAGTGAGCAGCGGAAGCCCTTCGGAAACTGACCCCGCAGCTCTGGGTCCCTTCACCTGGGTTTGATCATCGGTGAGGAAGGGAAAGACCGAGCGAGTGGGTCTGTGTGTGGGATGGGGAAGCGGAATGCGCGGTGATCCCGGGGATCCGGGATGTCTTTGCCTGAGCCCTTCCCCCTCTGCTGCCAGCCTAGGGAACAACCTTCAAAGCGAGAATATCTGTAAGGACACACACACACACACACACACACACACACACACGAAATCCTGGCCAAGGTGGGAACATCTGGGAGAAGTCATTGGGTTTTTTTATTCCTCTCTTCAGAATGGGGGTGGAGTGGGTGGATTTCACGTGAAAAACTCAAGAGCCTTGGACTGGATTGTTCTGTGTTTGGAACTCTACGCCCACCCCGAGCTTAATTTTCTTCCCACCCTGCCCCCCCCCCATTACTATCCTCCTTCACTCTTTTGTCACCCACCCCCCAGGCCCTTACCTGCCTCCAGGGGCTGAGGGCACCTCCTTTTTCTCCCTGGATATTTCCTTTGGCAGAATGGAGGATTCTTCCCCAGAGGCTTCAGTTTGGAAGTCTGAGCACTCTGCTCCAGCCCTTTTGTTGCCGTTCTCTTGAAGTTGTGACTTTGGGCAAGTCACCTTTCTTCTCTGGACCTGGGTCTCCTTCTCTGTAGAAGAAGGACCTAGAAATGTAATACTCCCCCAGGCCCTCTTGTAGCTCTGAGTTCGTAGCTTCCTTACTTTTCCAAATCAGTTTTACTTTTATGATCCTTCACAGCATTTGAAGACAGTTTTTGTGTTTATCCTTTTTGGATTACATATAATTTAAGGAAGGAGAAGACCACAGAATTGGTTCTGGGTGGGTGAGCGTGTGGTGGTTGGGGTTTGCTTCCATCCCAGCATTTCCCACGGTACCCCTGGGTTTCAGCCTTCTCTGAGGATGAAATATTCCATCATGTCACTGAGATCGCATCATCTCTCTTCTCTGTGTTTGTTTAAAATGTCACGTCATTTTTGTAGAAGAATTAAGGCATGTGTGATTAATTCTTTAGATACCTGAAACATACATACATTCAACCTCAAACCTAGTCCTTAAACTGTTGTGCAGTCTTTCGGATCTGCAGGGCTTATTAAAGAGAGAATACCTTCCATAATAGGTTTCCCTCTTTTACTCAGTGGCCTCACTTATTTATTCGTTTGTGAATTCGTTTGTTCATCAATAGTTATTGAGCAGTTTCTGTTGTGAATACTAGGGGTTGAGCAAGCACTGGGTAAGAGGCAGTTAGCTGGTACCCAGTACTATTTTGCATACTAGCTCCTTTGATTCTCAGCATTTCCTTGAACAGACACTACTGCTATACCCGTTATATAGAAGAAGAAACTGAGGCATAGGGAAGTTAAGTACCTTGCTTATCTCCGACTAGAGCCACCAGAGCCTTGCTTCTGCCCGTAGGACTCTTTAGTGACAGGTGAGTTTCCTGCCTCCATGCCTCCTACCCACCTTTCATGACTCACAGCAACCTCACAGCCTGTCCCAAGGTAACCACGTTTCGTTCCCACCAAACTGAACTGGACAGAACTGGATTTTACATGTTTTATATCCTCTGTCGAAGCCTAAGAGAGAGCCCAGTACACAGTTGGAGGTTGTCAGACGCCTGTTGAGTTGAGCAAGCCGTTGTACAATACTACACAATGGTGTCTTGAAAGAAGCTATTGCTTTTGGCATTTCTTGAATCATCTTTTCA